TTTAAGTGACTTTATAATCTCGGTGACTTCCGAGGGCTCAGTTGGTGCAAGATAGAAGGAATTTGGGAAATTCCCATCTAGGTAGTCCCCGGCATGGGCATTAGTATGTGGGATTTTATTGGCGAGATTAGATCCTATGGTTGAGAAGAAGTCGTTTATCTTGTTAGCTGTGTCAGTGGGATGTAGTGGTGTTTCATTAGGTTTAGTTAGGACAATATTGGTTTTTTCAGTTTGTGGGTCCCTAGAATCTGAGAGAGTGTTTTCCAGGTCTTTTTTATATCTCCTCTAGTGTCTGTGAATCTACTGGAGTAGTATAGTTGTTTGGCTTTCTTTATTACTTTGGTGAGAACTGATGAATAGTGTTTAAGAATATCTTTGTGTATTAAGCCCTGTCTATATTGCTTTTCATATTGGTGTTTCTTGTCAATGGATTTCAGAATGGTGCTGGTTAGCCATGGGCTGTATGAAAGTTGTATGTAAGTTGTATTGCGTATAGAAGATTGTATAAAAGTTGTATGAAGCAGAGGCTTGGTAGTGGCAGGTAAGAGGTTAAGTTCTTCACTAGTTCACTCTTATTGTGATGAACCTTTCTCACGACCTCTTGAACCCCAGCTGAGAGAGAGAGAGAGAGAGAGAGAGAGAGAGAGAGAGAGAGAGAGAGAGAGAGAGAGAGAGAGAGAGAGAGAGAGAGAGAGAGAGAGAGAGAGAGAGAGAGAGAGAGAGAAGACAGACAGACAGACAGACAGACAGACAGAGAGAGAGAGAGAGAGAGAGAGAGAGAGAGAGAGAGAGAGAGAGAGAGAGAGAGACAGAGAGACAGAGAGACAGAGAGACAGAGAGACAGAGAGAGACAGAGACAGAGACAGAGACAGAGACAGAGACAGAGACAGAGAGAGAGAGAGAGAGACATAATAGAAAATGGGATTCTACTTGTTTTTACAGAAAATGTTGTGTCACAAGTACATGGGTAACTATTTACTTACATTAATTTTGTGTAGTAGTATCAAATCAAATCAAAATGTTTCTTTTTTAGTAGAAGGTTATATAGTGTGATTTGTATGTTATAAAATATTAATTACAAAGGTCACTAGGATGCCTAGACATTTCAGGCAGACTAATACTAATTCTTACTCTATAGTGGTATAGGTTATATAGCAGTACATATGAACATACATTATTAGATAAATACATAATTAGGCAATGTGTGGTGTAAATATTATGCAGAAAATTCGGAGTGTGGAAATTAAGAGAAGGTGTGGAGTTAATAAAAGTACTAGTCAGAGGGTTGAAGAGGGTTTGTTGAGGTGGTTTGGTCATTTAGAGAGAATGGATCAAAGTAGAATGACATGGAAAGCGTATAAATTTATAGGGGACGGAAGGAGGGGTAGGGGTCGTCCTCGAGAGGGTTGGAGAGAGGGGGTAAAGGAGGTTTTGTGGGCGAGGGGCTTGGATTTCCAGCAAGCGTGCGTGAGCGTGTTCGATGGGAGTGAATGGAGAGGAATGGTATTTGGGACCTGACGAGTTGTTGGAGTGTGAGCAGGGTAATATTTAGTGAAGGGATTCAGGGAAACCGGTTATTTTTATATAGCCGGACTTGAGTCCTGGAGGTGGGAAGTACAATGTCTGCACTTTAAATTAGGGGTTTTAGGATACTGGCAGTTTGGAGGGATATGTTGTGTATCTTTATACGTATATACTTCTAAACTGTTGTGTTCTGAGCACCTCTGTAATAACAGTGATTATGTGTGAGTGAGGTGAAAGTGTTGAATGATGATGAAGATATTTTCTTTTTGGGGATTTTCTTTCTTTTTTGGGACACCCTGCCTCGGTGGGACACCCTGCCTCGGTGGGACACCCTGCCTCGGTGGGACACCCTGCCTCGGTGGTACACCCTGCTTCGGTGGGACACCCTGCCTGGGTGGGACACCCTGCCTCGGTGGGACACCCTGCCTGGGTGGGACACCCTGCCTGGGTGGGACACCCTGCCTGGGTGGGACACCCTGCCTGGGTGGGACACCCTGCCTGGGTGGGACACCCTGCCTGGGTGGGACACCCTGCCTGGGTGGGACACCCTGCCTGGGTGGGACACCCTGCCTGGGTGGGAGACGGCCAACTTGTCGAAAAAACTAATTATATTTACAATACTGAAGTAGAGCAATTAATAAATTAATATTACAAATGGTAAATTTAGTAATGGGATTGAATATGTCTGTTTGTATTAAAGTTTATATATTGGAAGTGAGTCTTAGGTGGACTTAGCACTAACTTAACATTCAATATTCAGTAGTTATATTAGTAATTTTATATTTACTGTCATTTGGGTGAGTGTAAGTGTAAATTATGAGGGAATTACAGATAACCAGAGTAGCAGTGTATTATTTTGGTTGTGTTTATGATGCAAAAATGGTGGTTGGGTCTGCGGTTCTAGAGCTTTCAGTCAGGGAGTTCCATATTTTTGGCTCTTTTATGTACATCGAGTTTTTATAGAGGTTTAGCAGGACACGAGGATTGTCATGAAGATTTTTGTGTGTGGTGTCGTGTCTATGGGTCCTGTTGCAACTATCAAGAAAGTGATGAATGGTTTTGAAAACCGACAACTTGAAGAATTGAGACACTTATGCAACATACAGGAATCTTTATTGAAGAAACGTTTCGCCACACAGTGGCTTCATCAGTCCAATACAAAGTAGAAATGGGTAAGGAGAGGAGGAGTTTGAGGTAATCAGTCCCTCAGCCTGGAATTGATGTGTTCAGTCCATCACTCTTGTAGGAAGTACAGCACAGGGCCAGATGTGCTTCCTATAAGAGTGATGGACTGAACACATCAATTCCAGGCTGAGGGACTGATTACCTCAAACTCCTCCTCTCCTTACCCATTTCTAAATAACAAAAAAGGCACAATACCGTGACTGGAACGATACACAAATAACCCGCACATAAAAGAGAGAAGCTTACGACGACGTTTCGGTCCGACTTGGACCATTGACAAAGTGTGACTTTGTCAATGGTCCAAGTCGGACCGAAACGTCGCCGTAAGCTTCTCTCTTTTATGTGCGGGTTATTTGTGTATTTACCCATTTCTACATTGTATTGGACTCATGAAATTACTGTGTGGCGAAACGTTTCTTCAATAAAGATTCCCATATGTTGCATAAGTGTCTCAATTCTATCAAGAAAGTGTTTTAGTTCAGGGTTAATATTGGAATTTATGGTTCTGTATATGTAGGTTGCACAGTAGTAAGTTTTTTGAAGAGTGGGGGGGGAGGGGGGGAGGGGGGTTGTCTAGCATTGGATTGCCTGATAATTCTTACTGCAGCTTTCTGTTGGGTTATTATTGGCTTTAGATGTGTTGCTGGTGTTGATCCCCAGGCATAAATAGCACAGGTGAGGTGGGGATAGATGAGTGAATAGTATAGTGTTAGTAGTGATGATTGTGGTACGTAGTGACATATCTTAGAGTAGTAGTTACTTGTTGTCAAATGCACTTGTCGATAGACACTGGCTGTTTTTTAGTGTGCTCACCTATTTGTGGTTGCAGGGGTCGATTCATAGCTTCTGGCCCTGTATGTGTGTTTTGCTTACTGCTGCGTGGCTACTTACAGTTGTGTTGCTGTAACTGATCTTCACGTAGTTGAGTTACTGACCGTTTTAACTTTTAGGTGTCCCGTAGCTGGGTTGGTAGCGCACTCACCTCATGCACTGAGGTCCGTAGTTTGATCCCCGGTACGGGTGGAAACATTAGGACGTGTTTCCTTAAGACACCTGCTGTCACTGTTCACCTAGCAGTAAGTAGGTACCTTGGTGTTATCAGACTGGTGTGGGTGGCATCCTGGGGGACAAAATTAACCTAAACTGCGTGAAATGCTTTGCATAACCAGAGACTTTCTATATAGTATGTCACTGATGTCAGCTATGGTCTCTGTAAGTTGTATCATGCACTTGTAAAAATAAAGATTATTATTATTATTATTAATAGTATTATTATTATTATTAAGGTTATAATCACAATTGATTTCTACTGTATCTTACAGCCAGGCTTTATGTAATAAAATATTACAAGGGAAAATAATGGAAATAAGTCACTCTGATTTTTTGGGGGGGAGGGGTTTATCCTTGTGGGTAATTTACACACATGTTACTGTGTAAAACATCCACAGGAGGAGTTGAATGATAGTTCTAGGCCTTTCATATTGCAATCAGCACATCATCAGAAGCTTGCAATGTTGCGGAAACGGAGCAGGAGATCCTGGAAGCTCCGTTCACGGGAACAGTTCTCTCCAGTATGTTACTATGTATGATAATTGTACTTATGTGTACCTGTGCCTAAATAAACTTACTATAACTGTCAAGTTGGTGTCTTCTGTTTATACATATAGTAAGTTTATTTAGGTACAGGTACACATCAGTACAACTATCATACACAGTAACATACAGGAGAGAACTGTTCCCGTAAATAGAGCTTCATGGATTTCCTGTTGTGTTTCTGCAACATTGCAAGCTCCTGATATGTTGATTGCAACATGAAAGGCCTAGAGCTTTCATTCAACTACCCCCTTGGTTGTTTTACACATTAACTTGTAAATTATCCACCAGCATAACCCAAAAAAGTCAGTAATTTATTTGTTACTTGTTATTTTTTTAATGATTAAAATTAGGTTTGTGTTAATTACTGTGATTGTTTACTGTGGTTGTTAACTGTGTTGTTTACTGTGGTTGTTAACTGTGTTGTTTACTGTGGTTGTTAACTGTGTTGTTTACTGTGGTTGTTAACTGTGTTGTTTACTGTGGTTGTTAACTGTGTTGTTTACTGTGGTTGTTAACTGTGTTGTTTACTGTGGTTGTTAACTGTGTTGTTTACTGTGGTTGTTAACTGTGTTGTTTACTGTGGTTGTTAACTGTGTTGTTTACTGTGGTTGTTAACTGTGTTGTTTACTGTGGTTGTTAACTGTGTTGTTTACTGTATTTTAGTATAGTTGTTAACAGTGTTGTTTTTTCTTCAGAAGAATGCAGTTGCTGCGGTGACACTGAACGCTGCCAACCAGAGCTGCAACACCGTCAACGTTCACAATGGTTCACTGTTAAACATCACTGCAGCTAGTGGACACTCACTGGACACTATGGTGTCTCAGCCATCACTGCTGGCTCTCTCTCCTACATATCTACCCATGACTTCCCCATATCAACCTCTACCAGTGACTTCATCGCCGTATCAACCTCTGCCAGTGACGTCGAAACTCCAGCAGCCAATCACATCATCGTATCAATCCATCCCCATGACGTCACAGCACCAGCAGCCAATCACGTCAACGTATCAACACCATCCCGTGACGTCACAGCACCAGCACTCACTCCCAACGCCGTATCAACCCCTCCCAGTGACATCATCGAATCAGCAGCTAATCAAGTCGCCGTATCAGGCGCTGCCGGTGACGTCATCACAGGTGGCCACGCCCACGACGACTATTTATCAGCCTCCCCCTCTGCCGCCACGGGCGGCGGCCGCCCGCCACGACACTTCTAGCGGCAACCAACCCACCCCTACGGGTAAGTAATATGGTAGCCAACCAGTTGCTGTACTCACCTATTTGTGGTTAAGGGGTTCGATTCTTGGCTCCTCACCCCACAGTACTTCTTGTAGTGTCAGAATTATTGTTGTTAATAATTAAGTAACTTGCGCAACACTTGGGTATCTTTATTGTGGCAACGTTTCGCTAGACAGTGGCTATGGAGAAAATTCTCCAGAAAAGGGGTATTATCTCAGTCCTCTCAGCCCCCCTTCAGCCCCCTGAGGGACTCAACCCTCACGGAAGGGGCTAATGGAGTTTGCTTCCGCAAATAACAAAGTCCCCCCAACAAACACAGAATACAACCTCGTTCATATTTGCTAATATACAGGACCTTAAGCCATCCACCAGCAACAAAATACCTTTTATCAGTGGACTTCTAGAGGAGTCTAATGCAATGTTTGCAGCCTTCACAGAGACTCACACATAAGATCACTTTGACAGTGAAATATGGATAAGTGGTTACAACCTTTCTAGATGCGATAGAATGAATAGGCAACAAGGGGGGGTTGGCCTGTATGTCAAAGAGTCCCTTATCTGCATGGAGTTGCTGAACACCACAAATGAGGTAGTTGAAGTTCTATCAATAAAGATCGAGAACCAAAACCTAGTCATTGTGGTTGTATATAAGCCACCAGATGCAACCTCACAACAGTTCAAGGAACAGCTACTTAAAATTGATTACTGTCTGGAAAACCTTCCAGCTCCATCCCCAAACATCTTACTGCTTGGTGATTTCAACCTAAGGCATATAAAATGGAAGAATGTAGCAAATAATGTTATAGCTGAAACAATCCCCGGAGGTAGTGCAGATGAAAGGTCACACACACATGAGCTACTAAGTCTCTGCGAAAAACACACCTTAAGCCAGCAGATAGTGGAGCCAACAAGACTAGAAAACACACTTGACCTTATCTTCACAAATAATGAGGACCTGATAAGAGACATAAGAATATCAAAAACAACTAATTCCGATCACAACCTAATCGAAGTCCAGACGTACATGCATAGGGTCCTGATCAGCAGAATGCATGTACCTGTGAAGGTGTCTTCACAAAATACAACTTCAACAACAAGAACATCAACTGGGACCAGGTAAACCATGTCCTAAACGAAACATGTTGGGAAGATATCTTAAATGACATGGATCCAAACCAGTGCCTTGAAAGGATCAACTTCCTGGCAGCTGAAGCATGTTCTAAGCATATTCCCCTAAGAAAGAAGAAGAGCAGGAGTAAACTGGAGAGAGAAAGATGCTCCCTCTACAGAAGACGACGAAGAGTCACTGAGCTTCTCAGGAGTGCTAGAATATCTGATACACGAAAGGAGGCGCTGACCACGGAAGTGGAAACTCTCGAACTTAAGTTAAATGACTCTTACAGGAACCAGGAGAGACAGGAGGAGCTTAAAGCTATTAGTGAAATTGAAAGAAATTCAAAATATTTTTTTTCATATGCCAAAAACAAGGCAAATACCACATCTAGTATCGGGCCCTTACTCAGACAGGATGGGACTTACACAGATGACAACAAGGAAATGAGTGAAATATTGAAATCCCAGTACGACCCTGTGTTTAGTGAACCACTAACCGGTCTGAGGATCGACGACCCAAATGATTTCTTCATGAATGAGCCTCAAAACTCCATAAATGTATGCCAGATTTCCGACATTACCCTAACTCTGATAGATTTCGAAAAAGCCATTGACAACATGCCCATGCACTCAGCCCCGGGCCCAGATTTGTGGAACTCTGCTTTCATTAAGAACTGCAAGAAACCCCTCTCGCGTGCCCTAAGTACACTATGGAGGAGGAGCTTGAACATGGGTGAAATTCCACAGTCACTTAAAACAACGGATATAGCCCCACTCCATAAAGGTGGCAGCAAAGCATTAGCTAAAAACTATAGAGTAATAGCTCTGACGTCCCACATCATAAAAATCTTTGAAAGAGTGCTAAGAAGAAGGATTGCAAATCACCTGGATTCCCAAAATCTGCACAATCCAGGGCAACATGGGTTCAGGGCAGGTCGCTCCTGCCTCTCACAACTACTGGATCACTATGATATGGCCTTGGATGCACTGGAAGAAAATCAGAATGCAGATGTAATATACACAGACTTTGCAAAAGCATTTGACAAATGCGATCATGGCGTAATAGACCATAAAATACGTGCTAAAGGAATAACTGGGAAAGTGGGGAGATGGATCTTCAACTTCCTAACAAATCGAACACAAAGAGTAGTGGTCAACAGAGTTAAATCGGAGGCTGTCATAGTGAAGAGCTCTGTTCCACAAGGCACAGTACTCGCCCCCATCTTATTCCTTATCCTCATATCAGACATAGACAGAGATATACACCACAGCACCGTATCATTCTTTGCGGATGATACTAGGATCTGCATGAGGCTGTCATCTGCTGAGGACGCGGTTAACCTCCAAGAAGATATAAACAAAGTTTTCCAGTGGGCAACGGTAAACAATATGATGTTCAATGAGGACAAATTCCAACTACTCCGTTATGGAAAACTGGAGGAGATAATAACTAGAACAGAGTATACTACTGACTCCGGCCATGCAATCGAACGGAAAAATAATGTAAGGGACCTGGGAGTAGTAATGTCTGAGGATCTCACTTTCAAGGATCACAACAGTGCCACGATCGCACGTGCAAAGAAAATGATAGGATGGATAATGAGAACGTTCCAAACGAGAGATGCCAAGCTAATGATGATCCTTTTTAAATCACTTGTTCTCTCTAGGCTGGAATACTGCTGTACATTAACATCTCCATTCAAAGCAGGTGAAATCGCAGATTTAGAGAGTGTACAGAGATCCTTTACTGCACGTATAAGTTCTGTCAAGCACCTTAACTACTGGGAACGCTTGGAAGCACTTGACTTGTACTCGTTGGAACGCAGGAGGGAGAGATATATCATAATCTACATTTGGAAAATCTTGGAAGGAATGGTCCCAAATCTGCACACAGAAATCACTCCGTACGAAAGTAAAAGACTGGGCAGGCGATGCAAAATGCCCCCAATTAAAAGTAGGGGCGCCATTGGTACACTAAGGGAAAAGACCATAAGTGTCCGAGGCCCAAGACTGTTCAACAGCCTCCCATCAAGCATTAGGGGAATTGCCAATAAACCCCTGGCTGCCTTCAAGAGAGAGCTGGACAGATACCTAAAGTCAGTGCCTGATCAGCCGGGCTGTGGCTCGTACGTTGGACTGCGTGCGGCCAGCACTAACAGCCTAGTTGATCAGGCCCTGATCCATTGGGAGGCCTGGTCATGGACCGGGCCGCGGGGGCGTTGATCCCCGGAATAACCTCCAGGTATAAACAGTTTGACTGGTAGCATATGCGTCTACCAGCGTCACTGTCACTTGTATTGCAACGATCACTAATGTGCAAGAAGAGGGTGGCGTGACTATGACGCTGGTAGACGAGAGGATGACGAGGTACAGCACTTGTACTTCCTCCCATGGGACACGTAGGTCTCACGACACTCCCCAGACAGGGAGCCAAGGCCGCCTCAACATCTGGAAAAGACCCCAACTGGGAGCGTCCCGGCGCATCAAGGAGGAGGAGCTGGTAGACGCATATACTTCCAATCAATCTGCTTATGCGGAAGCAAAACTCTATTAGCCCCTTCCGGGAGGGTTGAGTCCCTCAGGGGGCTGAGAGGGCTCAGATTATACCCCTTTTCTGGAGAATTTTCTTCGCAGTGGCTTCTTCAGTCCAGTGCAGAGAAACGATGGAAGATGAGTGTGAGGTGATCAGTCCCTCAGCCTGAAGTTGATGTCTTCAGTCCATCGATACTGACTGATGGACTGAACACATCAACTCAGGCTGAGGGACTGATTACCTCAAACTCCTCATCTTCCACCATTCTTCTGTGTATTGGACTGAAGAAGCTACTGTCTGGCGAAACGTTTCCACAGTATAACCATCCAAGTGTTGTACAAGTGTTTTAATTATCAACTTGTCGATGTTCTAAACCGTCATTAGTGTTTTAATAAGTGTAAAGTTGAAGACCTTAATTAACACTTCCTGTATATGTTATCCAGTTCCTTCAAAAGAGAATTTGATACGTTGGTCAAGTCATACCTTGACCAGCCAGACTGTGGTTCGTACTTTGGATTGCCTGTTGCTAGTGCCAACAACCTAGTTGATCAGGCCATCAACCAGGCCTGGTCTGGGACCAGGTGGCGATGGCTAGGACTACAGCAATCAGCTACAGGTAGACTGTTGCTTACTGGGACATGTTTCTGGTCTACCTACCTGGAGTATACCTGGAGGGTATTCCGGGGGTCAATGTCCCAGCGGCCCGGTCCATGACCAGGCCTCGTGATGGATCAGGACTTGATCAGCCAGGTTGTTACTGCTGGACACACGTAAATCAACGTAGGAACCACAGCCCGGCTGGTCAGGTACTGACTTTAGGTGTCTGTCCAGCTCTCTCTTGAAGACAGCCAGGGGTCTTAAAGACAGCCAGGGGTCTTGAAGGCATCCAGGGGTCTTTAAGGCATCCAGGGGTCTTGAAGGCAACCAGGGGTCTTGAAGACAGCCAAGGGTCTTGAAGACAATCAGGGGTCTTGAAGACAGCCAGGGGTCTTGAAGGCAGCCAGGGGTCTTGAAGACAGCCAGGGGTCTTGAAGACAGCTAGGGGTCTTGAAGACAGCTAAGGATCTTGAAGACAACCAGGAGTCTTGAAGACAACCAGGGGTCTTAAAGGCAACCAGGGGTCTTGAAGACAACCAGGGGTCTTGAAGACAGCCAGGAGTCTTGAAGACAGCCAGGGGTCTTGAAGACAACCAGGGGTCTTGAAGACAGCCAGGGGTCTTGAAGACAGCCAGGGGTCTTTAAGGCATCCAGGGGTCTTGAAGGCAACCAGGGGTCTTGAAGACAGCCAAGGATCTTGAAGACAATCAGGGGTCTTGAAGACAGCCAGGGGTCTTGAAGACAGCCAGGGGTCTTGAAGACAGCTAGGGGTCTTGAAGACAGCTAGGGGTCTTGAAGACAATCAGGGGTCTTGATGACAACCAGGGGTCTTGAAGACAACCAGGGGTCTTGAAGACAACC